AATATGCTTTAAAAAGCGTTATTTTAACAGTATCTGTGCAGCGACCAAATCTATGTGCCAACATATTCGCCCTGACCGACAGCGCCCTACGTTCCCTATCAATATCTTCATCGTCTTTAAGGCTGTCAGTCACGATATGATATGTCCAAGATATTTAAATTTATAAACTCTTTCTAAGGGTTCATCGTAGAGTTTTATAGGGGGAACTACATTAGGGCATTTACTGCCAGCCTTAAATACCATGAACTGAGACTTCTTGGCATTGTATAGCAAACCATGCGAGACAGCGAAACCTTCACAAACTCCGAGAAGCGCTCTTAACGCACTGACCGAGGGCGCCAGCAGGACCATGTCGTCTGCGTAACTGATGTTGTTAACGCACACTTTTCCAATATGGCAACCGACACGCATGCCGCTGAGCTCCCGAACCAGTGCGTCTACGTACAGGTTGAAGAGCCTCAGAGAGGTCAGCCCCCCCCTGCCTCACACCGCACTCCATCCTGTACGGCTCGGAAAATTCATTCGCCCATCTCACATAGTTCACCTGTTTACAGTACCAAAATCTCAGCAAATTAGTGTAGCCATCAGGTATTCCTACATTTTTTAATTATGCATTTTTTAGCTATGCCCTTTAGACAGGGTGCTTAAGTTTTCTGTCAAATTTATGTAGCACCTTTATAACTACACTGTATGATAAGCAATAAAGTATTGAGTGTTAACCAACGCAGTTCGTATTCTATCGAAGAGTTCGCGTCTCTGGAAGGAATTGATATATTAAGGTAGGCCGTAACAGGTGCGATTTTGCAACAAAGCTGTTATAGTCTGTACGTCAGTCATAGCGGCTTTTATTTAACCTACGCAGTTCGTACCTATCCTTTTGTAAGCCTAGGCGCAAACCATCGATTTTTCATCGGCCGATTGTTTAGTCGGGCAGTTGATCAGTATGGGCATGTAAAGAAGTGCGCACATTACACCGATTTGATTTGGCCGATTCTTCATACATTTTAAAATCGGGCACAACTATCGACCAACTAAAAATCGGTGGTCTGCGCCTAGGTAGTCTTAGAGTGAGCAACCCTGCAAGGCGTTGATATTCAAGTAAATGTTTCTTCTAGTAAGGAGGTACAAATTAAACACCCTTTATATTAGGCGTAACAGGAGCTATTCTGCAACAAAAATAATGTAGGGCGTACGTCATAGCGGCTTTTATTTAACCTACGCAGTTCGGTACCTGCGGCGTCCGTTCACCCGCGACCTTGCGCGTCCTGTCGCGTGCCTCAACCAAAGAATTAAGCTTCATCCGTTAGCCAGGGAATAAACAAAGGATGCCTTCGAAAACAATTTTATGGACGTCTTTAATGATGAACTTAAGCATCAGCAGCACGAAGTTGAAGTTCACTTCTATTTACATTTATTAGCAGGTATTATCATGCATGATTTCTGATGTCATATTAAAAAAAGGTCTGCCAAAAGTTTCATTAACCGTTAGCCAAGGAATAAACAAAGGATGCCTTCGAAAACAATTTTATGGACGTCTTTAATGATGAACTTAAGGATCGATAACATGCATGAAAACTGAAGTAAGATACCTGAAGTTCATTTCTATTTACATTCATTAATAAATTATATTATCATGCATGATTTCTGATGTCATGCCAAAAAATGACTCCGTAACGATATGTTCATCAACTGCTCGTATGCAAAACGTAGTCTGCGCCTTTAGAGTGAGGTTCGATTTATTTAGGGTTATTGGAATTCGTAGGGACTCACCCCTTCAAAAACCCTTTGACTGGCAACTCATAGTACAAGGAAAGAGTTCCTGTTATCATGTTTTCTACTCTAAGATCATTTAATTAAGATATTAGGTACGATGTCCGGTATTTATTTGGAAATATTGCCATAAAAGAGAGTATTCGGTATTATTGGCTAATATTACTAACTTTGTAGGCATGGAAATCGATTCCGGTTATAGTGTTTGATAAAAAATATTCCAGTCCCAATTTCCGTTACAAATTGAAATCTAGGCCGAAACCGCGACCTAGGTAGGTACTTACCTAGTTTAATAAATATTTGACCAAACAATAATTACAGCATTGTACTTAATTTACCTACAATGTAACACATTTGAACAAGGATAAAATAATTGTTTCTGGTTACAGTTATTCAATACAAAAACATATGAGCAGACGATGACATTTATAATTTAAATCATAATTAATTCTGATTTTAATTAATTATCTTTGCCTGTCGGAAACTCTGAGAACCTACACTTTACATTGTGACTACATAATGTATTTATTACAATTTTAACTGTTATATTTCAGTAGGTACGCATAAATGCGTAATATGTAGGTAGGTATATTGTTACGTTGGAATATTCCTTCCTTATAATATTAATGAGGTTATAAATACGAAATATGTAATACTAGCGGCAGCCCGCGACTTCGTACGCGTGGATCCCGTTTTACCCCCTTCATCTATCTTACGCGGTTTAGATTTTTCCATACAAATGTTTTTCCCGCTAACTCCCGTTCCCGTGGGAATTTTGCAATATCCTATTGTAACTAAGCTTTAGGTTTACTAAGGTACCTGCATGTTAAATTTCAAGCGTCTAACTTTAGCGGTTTAGATTTTTCATACAAAAGGATTTTCCCGCTAATTCCCGTTCCCGTGGGAATTCCTAAGTATACTATAACCTGCCCAGGAGTATGAAGAATAATTATACCAAGTTTCGTTAAAATCCGTCAAGTAGTTTTTGTTTCTATAAGGAACATACAGACAGACAGACAGACAGACAAAAAATTTACTGATTTCATTTTTGGCATCAGTATCGATCACTAATCACCCCCTGATAGGTATTTTGAAAATATATTTCATGTACATTTTCAAAATACCTATCAGGGGTTTTAATCCCATCTGTGGCAGTATTAATATCATTAGATAAAATTCCTATACAATCACTTATAGGTACATTAGGCAAATTTGGTCCACTGGTGGATTTAAGCCCGTTTTCACCATTAATTTTTAAGTGACCCCTACGTAAACAAAATTCTTGTTATGTGTTACCATAGGGGTACCCTTGTTATGGGTCACTTAAAAATCAGGGATTGATGGTGAAAATGGGCATTAAACTCCCAATTCATGCCACTGAACTCAATCGTATTGTTTTCCAACTATTATTCTATTTATTATCATTATAATAATATCATTATAACTGATCAAAACAGCTAGTTATTAACTGAAATCTGTAAATATCTTCAGATGTCGGAAGAAAGCTGTTATTCGAACGTTTTTACGCTCTCGGCATAATTCCAAACTTTCCAAGGTAAGTTAATTAATGCAATTAACGGCTGCCGCCGATCCAATAACTAAGAACACACATACATAAAAACATTTGTTAGCACACGCACGCAGTAGCTAGAGTTAGCGGCATAGAATCTCCTATTCTGTGGTAGGTATAGGTCAGTCGCATCTGAGTCAGTGCCTGGTATAGGAGCGGCTCATAAGAAGGCTAAAGGTCACCCAAAGGGCGATGGAGCGTGCTATGCTCGGAGTTTCCCTTCGTGATCGAATCAGAAATGAGGAAATCCGTAGGAGAACCAGAGTGACTGACATAGCCCGCAGAATCGCTAAAATCAAGTGGCAGTGGGCGGGGCACATAGCTCAAAGAGCTGATGGCCGCTGAGGCAGGATAGTTCTTGAGTGGCGACCACAAGCCGGAAGACGTAGCGTGGGCTGGCCTCCCATTAGGTGGACCGACGATCTGGTGAAGGTCGCGGGAGGTGCCTGGATGCGAGCGGCGCAGGACCGGTCTTTGTGGAAATCCTTGGGGAGGCCTTTGTCCAGCAGTGGACGTCTTTCGGCTGAAACGGACGAACGATGGGAGCGGCACGGGAGGGTGACATTGACATATTTATAACGCGACTGAGCATACAAATCTGAAGCACATTTCAAGTTACGATTGACATAACAAAGCCGCTCCCATACCTCAGCCCCCCTAGACAAAACGCACTTTTTGATCGAATCGAAAATCGAATCCGTCAAAACTCCATACAAAAAGGGGCTTTTCGACCACTTATCGACTGGTTTGCGATTATAATTTGCACTTTGTCTAGACCCACAGGTACTGACTGAGGTATGAGCTAGGCCTGTTTGTCAGATTTTAGAACTGACACAATTTTAGAACGGCACTCTTTACACTACAACACACTGTATACTACAACAAAAAAAGAAGTGAATCTGGAAATCGAATTAGGATACCAATTTAGTACGAGTACCTATTATCAAAGTACCTATCATGTTAGCATTATTTTAACTTTAATGGTAGGAAAAACATAATAATGAGGAAACAACGTTTTGACAAATGTGAATAAAATTAATTCAACTGCAAACTTATGAGCAGCAATCTGCAAGCACCTACGTATTATATAACTAAATTGTTGCACTGTACTGAAATAATATTAATTACACAAACACATAATTATGTATTATTTTCAACCGACTTCAAAAAAGGAGGAGGTTCTCAATTCGACCCCTATGTTTTTTTTTTCTATGTTTGTTACGCGATAACTCCGCCAATTGAACCGATTTGAACAAATCTTTTTTCGGCGTATNTACGTAATGATCACGTCGGGGTATTCATACACTGTATACCTAATGATCACGTCGGGGTCACCAATGTACGTTATTTTTATATACCCGATGTACGTAATTATATTGATATACGTTATGTTCAGGTATATTACTGTTAAGTCCACAAAACGTACGTCAGAAGGTTGGAACAGTAAAACATGTGATTTCTTTAAAGGTGTATTTGCGACTAAAATAAAACAGGCGGGCTCAGCCGCCGACACATACAAGGAACAGTATAACTATTGTTTTCTATTGTTAATTGTATTGGGCAATGATGTGGGAACGCAGGGCGCTACTCAATACGCTCTGTTCATTCATGGAGTTAATTTATTACTCTGATTAATGTGTACCTACATATCCAACTGCGCCACAAGGAGGGTTATGTTTTTACGTTAAACTTTTCCAATAGACATGGAACGTCGGGGCGTGTCCGTGGACATGGAGCAGCTGAAGTCGATGGAGCGTGTCCTGGAGACGAAGATGAAAGCGGCTGAGCAGGAGTGTCACAAGGCCGCAGGGAAACAGTTTCAGGTAGGGTGAGCTAGTCCAAATGAAGATATCTGCTAGGTATATGATAATACCTAGGCACTAGCGGCGTAAGGTATGCGGTCCGCCCCGGGTGCCAAGCATCAGGGGGTGACACAAGTCGCGCAGATTAGTACTCACAGGCGCAACTGCATGGGAAGTCTGCGGTCTATGTCATGATACGGGGGGTGGGGGGGTGCGATTGTGGTGATCGCCCCGGGTGCCAACCCATGCTACGCCGCCACTGTACCTAGGTACAAACACTTTGATCTTTGATTCGTAATGAATTACAAATGATGTTTTTTGAACTTTTGCTAACCTTCTGTTTTTCTTCCAAGCAGTGCTATCTTCAATTTCAGGTAAACTCTCCGCTGCAGGTGCGCGCGCTGCTATACGACGAGCTAAAACTGGACGAGAAGTGCAATGTTAAGATCAGCGCGACACTCTCCAAGGGAGCAAAATCAACTTCCGAGGCTACTGTTAGTTTTTTTTATGAAACCACAAATATAGGATATTTTTAGTAAAAAACTAACTTGTTCTGTTGTTGATTCAGTTGCGAAGCCTAATGTCCGTGCATCCGCTCCCCAAGTGGATCCTGGAGTACCGGCGCCTGCACAAGGCTCACGCCACCTTTCTCACTGGCATCGCCCAGCACGTTAAGGATGGAGTCGTCAAACCAACTTGGTACTAATATTTCACGAGCGTAAATAACACTTTTGCAATATTCTGGTAAGAGAACCCATGTGTTGTGGCTGCAAAAGGTTTAAAATAAGTAAGTACTAATCCTTTCATTTTCAGGGTACAGACAGCGGCTGCGACGGGTCGGATTGCCTCCAACAACCCTAACTTACAGGCTATTCCCAAAGCACCATTTAACGTCATCATGTTTCCAGAATCCGAGGATGTAGGTACGTTCTTTTTAGGACACTGCCTGCTTGTTTCCACTTCTTCTTACATTATTTCACTCATTTCAAAGGATTTTAATTAATTAATGTTAGCTAAAATTCTCTTACATTCTGCTTATGGCATCTCGTCTTCCAATTCCAAGAGTACCAACTCACAGATCCGTCCATCCGCCCATGGTTCTTCCTATCTTACGGCTCGGCATACGAGCTGAATCTCGGGAGAGCGCGCGAGTTCTTGCTCGAGCGAGGCTCCTTTCCCCGGGCGCCTTGCTTGTGTCCCTACAATTACCAACTCACAAATCCCACCATCACCCATGGTTCTTCCTGCCTCACGGCCTACGAACCTGCATGGCGTACGAATTACCAACTCACAGTTTACATCTCTGAAAAGTGCTTGATCATAATTTGTCCCCAAGACAACCCCTTGCTGAACTTTCGGTCGGTGTACACGGCGCGCGCCGGGCACGCGCTGCTGGCGGCGGACTTCCGGCACGTGGAGTGCCGCGTGTTCGCGCACGCCGCTGCTGACTCCGCACTGCTGGCCGCGCTCGCCAGCGACCAGGATCTCTTCAAGGTCCTGGCTGCTAAATGGTGAGGATTCCTTCAGAGCGAAATTGCTAACTTACTGCTTCCAAGATTGAAATTGATTGATCACATGGTAAAGTGCAGGCTAATTTTACAACAGGAGGTACAAGATGTACCTACTGTTGTAAAATTGATGTACTGTACATCACGATATACAGAATATTCCATGGCAGTTGTTTTTTTTATTCACAACGAGGAAACTTCTGCATCTTACGTGGAAAGTGATGATCAGTACCTCTATTACGAAAAACTTTCGAGTTCGTTTCGTTTGCGTATTCAAAGTGCCATCGAAAAATTTTGTATGAAAAATTAAACAGCGCCCCCTATATTATAGCCGCCCTAGGGGGCGCTGTTTAATTTTTCATACAAAATTTTTCGATGGCACTTTGAATACGCAAACGAAACGAACTCGAAAGTTTTTCGTAATAGAGGTACAGGTCGAATGTGGAAAGAAATTTTATTCGGAACACACAAATCTAGAAGCTGGCTATCTTACCTCTAAGTAACTGCTGGAACAACAATCCTGTTAACATTGATGATATGGCGATAAACTTAGGTAAGATGGTGGTAGCTAGCAAGAACCTAGATACCAACCAAACCGAAAAAGCTATATTATGAATGGAATTCAACACGTCTAGGTTTGAAGCCGTGGTCATACCACTAGATCTACATACGATTTTTTTAACCACAACGAGTAAGCTCTTAGCCTGTATCTCACCTGATGGTAAGTGATAATCGTGAAGGAAGCTTCACGATTATCACTTACCATCGTGGAAGGTGGGAGGTGGAAGCGAGCTTCACCCGGAATCCTCAACCACAGAGGAACTGGCTATCTTACCTATTAACTGCCGGAACACAACAATGCTGTTAACATTGTTGTTATGGAGGCAGACTTAGACTCAGACAGGTGGACCTGGGTTTGAAGCAGTAGCTGTGGCAGTAGTCATAATACCACTAGACTTAGAGGCGTTGACTGATATGAGAAGATTAAGGTAGTCTAATGAGTGATGAGAATAACCCCCCAGGTTGAACAAGCCCGAGGCGGCGGTGTCGAGCGCTGACCGCGAGCGCACCAAGCGCATCGTGTACGCCAGCCTGTACGGCGCGGGCGCGCGCAAGCTTATGGAGATCCTCGACGTCAGCTACGATCAGTCGCTGGCCATCACTGCTAGCTTCAACAGTTAGTTTATGTGGTTTAACTTTCCTATTTTTGGACTGGATTTTAATAATAACTCATCCACCACTAATCGCAACCCCCTAAGTGACCAACGTGTGTGATGTGAGGGTCCGGAGTCCTCCCTGAAAAATAACGATAGTTAGGCCAATGTGATTGCTGCCTGTTCTTTTATCCTGTTGACTACAATATTATTATTGCTTACCGTTTTTTCGGAGGTTGAGCACAATCGTCCATTTGAATTTAGCAGCATGGAGTCAAGTTTGGATCACAAGACAAGTTTCAGTAGACTAAACTTTTTCCACTTGCATAATTTGATTGATGTTGAGAGTCCAAGTTTCTGGTGCTGTCCTCGGTAATTGAGTTGCTGTAAGGCTTGTTTTACACGTACCACAAGCACACCACACCGTCGCGACAAGAAGTACGGCTTCTTGCGGTTACATGTTGTGGTAACGACAAAATGTGGATGTGGTCGCATTGTCGCTATAGTGTCATGTTCACGGTGTCGCTGGTAGTTGCGACGTGGCTGCGATATGGTCAGTAACAGTATCACACATGCGGTCGATATTGATCACGCCTACACAGTACACAGCTGCGCCCACTCACGCGTTAAGGTTGTGGTGTGGTCCAGTGCTGACGTCACGCTTGTCTCAGGGACGTTCCCGTCGCTGCGGTCTTTCGGGCAGCGCGTGGTCGCACAGGCCCGGAACGAGGGCGGGCGGCTGCGGTCGCTGGGCGGGCGCGCGCGTCACCTGTCGGGACTGGCCAGCGCGGATCCTGCCGCGCGCGCGCACGCTGAAAGGCAGGCTGTTAACTTCATCGTGCAAGGTAGGCAGAGGCACTATTAGGCCGGTTAACGGTCAGTGCCTGAGCTATGGGAGCGGCACGGGAGGGGTGACATTGACATATTATGACATGACGGAGCCACGGACGGAACATACAACAAATCTGAAGTTTCACTGACGTTTTCATCCGCCCGTGCCACTCCCATACCTTAGCAGACCTAAAACCTAACGATAGCAAAATTATAGTTCTAGTAAACTCAATTTTACTAACAATAAAAATACCTTCGGTCAAAACGTTACTGTGAATTTTTTTTTCTGATGCGGGACGTACCTGGATGCGGGTAGCGCAAACCATTCTTTGTGTAAATCCTTGGGGGGTCTTTGTCCGGCAGTGGACATCATTCGGCTGAACAGAAAGAACGAACGAACGCGAGACACTTTCGTTCGTTTGAGCCGAATGACGTCCACTGTTGAACAAAGGCCTCCCCCAAGGATTTCCACAAAGACCGGAGACACTAATGCCCGTTTTCACCATCAATCCCTAATTTTTAAGTGACCCCTATGTAAACAAAATTCCTGTTATTTGTTACCATAGGGGTCACTTAAAAATTAGGTATTGATGATGAAAACGGGCATAAGTTTACTAAAATTGTGCGAACGAAAGTATCACCTCTTTTGTGTACCACGTATTCCTCCGACGCAGGCTCCGCAGCCGACTTGTGCAAGATGGCGATGGTGGCGACGAGCGCGCGGCTCGGCGGCGCCGCGCACCTGCTGCTGCAGATACACGACGAGCTCGTCTGGGAGGTGCACGAGGACGACCTGGAGAGAGCTGCTGGTACGTTGATGCATCATTTCAGACAACTGCAGAACACTGTTAAAGCTGATCCGTGAGAATCCCGTCCAATGACCCCACGCTACCCATCCCTATCGCTCGCGCGTAATTATGTTGCTGTCGCTACTGTGCGACGGCGCCCGCAGTGAGTGTGCGAGCGCGACAGCAACATAATTACGCGCGAGTGATAGGGATGCGTAGCTTGGGGTCATTGGACGGGATTCTACGTGCTCACGGACCAGGCTTTACACGTAAACTTACCCGAGGAGTGCCAAAGAACATTACCTATCTTCATTTATCCAGCAGGTAAGTAAAGTTGATTCGCAGAATCTCTAAAATCAAGTGCCAGTGGGCGGGGCACATAGCTCGCAGAACTGATGGCCGCTGGGGCAGAAAAGTTCTTGAGTGGCGACCTCAAGCCGGAAGACGTAGCGTAGGCAGGCCTCCCACTAGGTGGACCGATGATCTGGTGAAGGTCGCGGGAGGTGCCTGGATGCGGGCGGTATAGAACCGGTCTTTGTCGAAGTCCTTGGGGGGAGGCCTTTGTCCAGCAGTGGACGCCCTTCGGCTAGAACGAACGAAGTAGATTGATTATGTGCGTTCAATTCTGTAACTTCCTTGAGTTTTATTCTGGAGATGTGAAGCTGAAGATGCTGGTGAATTGGTTCACTAGTGGTGGGAATATGCCACGCAATAGTGAACATGACAGCAGTTGAGCAAGTGTTGAGATGTTCCAGCAGACTCTACAGAACCAGTCTCAGTTTGAACATTCAGCTACGGTCTCGTTCTTCGAGTTCGTTCGGGTTAATATTTCCATTGCTGGAGACGACCTCGAAGAAGCAAATTTCCGTAATATTGTATGCACATAACAATAATCTGTTCTGCAGCGATAGTGAAGGAGGTGATGGAAGGCTGCGGGCGCGCGTGCGGGCTGCCCTCGCTGCCCGTCAACGTGGCCGCCGGCCGCAGCTGGGGCACGCTGCTGCCGGTGGGGCTGTCGCAGCAAGCGTAGACAATACCTGACGCGGCGGTGACCGGACTGTGGCAAAGATGACGCTTAAGCTAAGCGTCCACTTGTCGGTATCGTACGCAACGGACGCATCGTACAAAACATCGTACGATGCGGACAGGTGGACGCACTTATATGAGTTTCTATATAAATAATACTACGATCCGTTGCGTGCGATACGTCCGATGCGTACGATACCGACATGTGGACGCTAGCCTTTAGGCCACAAAAACACAAAGTGACATTGTTAATATACTGCAACTGGCAGTTCAAATAGATTTAACTCTCTTTTTCATAGATTGTCAACGATTTTAATAAAAACATGAAAGTTTTTAATATTTTTATTTACTAAAAACACAAGTTTTAACATACAAAATATTTATTATGAATAAAATTTAAATCTAATACAAAATATGGTATTTATGACTTCATTTGCTGGAAATACATTGATTGAAAATTAAATGAAAATGGTCTTATCATAAATGATGGTGGACTATTTAAAATATTGGCAAGAAGTGTTTCATGTCAGTAGTCATGAGTTATTTAAATGTTAAATTAACATGAATGTACCAAAGACATATTTTATATAAGAAAACCTAAACCTGAATACAAAAGTATGTAATTAATTAATTAAATGTTTTAATTCATTCTCTGATTTCAATAGATAATAATAAGTTTATTTCTGGAAAGACTGTTGTTTGTGTTTGTGCGTTAAGTATTTGTTGTTGAGAAAGCGCGACACATTAGGGAAGACAGAGTAGTAGCCGAAAGGCTCCTATGGGAGGAAAAAATATTTTAATACTTGTTTTTTTGTTTGTCCAAACACATCCAAGGTTTTAATTTAATACCATACTTACCCAACATAAATTACATTTAGATATAGTAGCAGTCAGTGTAATTTTAATTGTGGTGTTCAATTACAAACATTTCAAAATTAGACTTTATGTGGATGGTTATCTAAGATAATCAAACGGTAGTATGAAACGCGGTAAGAAAATAATTCTTCTGATTGTTAGTATTTGAAAAAATATCACCATTTTTGATCAGTCACCTTAGAGTATTAAGGCGTTCGATAAAATAACCATACATTGACTAGTGGGTATTTATATCAAGAAGAGTCAAATAATGATACTCATTCATTACATACAAATAACAATGTAAAACACTAGATTCCATAGTTTTTAACGTAGTATTTTCTTCTCAAACTTTATCACATTTTCCCTCACGATAATTAAGCTTATTAATATTTAAGTACATTAAAAATTATGCAATAATAACCTATTAACCTTAACCTTAACTTAACCTTTTAATTAATCAAGGAATGTTAAATATTACAAGGTAAAATATTTTATTTCTTTACAGTTCTAATCACTGCATTTTAAATTCATAACATCAAATTGAATAGCTTTATTTAGCACTAGCAGTGCCTTCATTTGCGTGGAAAAGGTTTTCCGGTCAGTCGTGTAGTCAACAGAGATCTATTTTTTTTACTGCACTACAGCATTAACTCAGATGCTGTTACTTCACATTTTAAATAAAATGTATCGAAAAATAAGTGTTCAAATAATGTAAATAAAATACAATCTGTATTATTACATTCTATCTAGTCCTTAATAAGCCTCTGACGCTCAATTTCCATTTTCCTAGCCAATAAACAGAATTGACTTCCTAGTTTTTTATTACGTGTGTGTATAAATATAATAGATAATATGTATGATAGATAAAGGCATATCAACAATATAATGATTATTTCATTGTTTAAATTCAATACTTACTCATTTGTAAGGCATACAGGTTTTTCTGGAGGATTTTGATTACGATATAGTAAGTACATCATTAGATCATACATTTTTGTCACTTTTACCAATAGAAATAGGGTTAACAACTTTGATCACGGTGGTTTGACCGGTCTGCGTCAGGTGACCGCACACGTAATATAGTCTACGTGTTGCAACCATACAATTTCACATTCTTAAGGTAAAATTATATCTGTCACTGACATATTAGCTTAAATTCGTAGTCCAAGCTGCTCTAAGCAGAAATACTGCAGAGTGTGCCATTTATGGCTTTGACGGCTAATAAAAGCTAAAGTCAATTCGAACTAACACTCACATAATACGCTACGATTCGACAGTAGAACTCGCTATAAAGGGAGTGTTCCGTTACAGCACTGCTCAGTGCACCCACCAGTGAGAGCACCGGTCGGCGCTCGCAGGGCTACAACGGAACACGCCGCTAAGTCCCGGTTCCCACTACGCTGTACAATATATATGAAGCTATTCACATTATCCGTTTTGTCACTGCGAAGTTCCAGCAGAACCGGACCGAAGCAGTGTGAACGAGTTTGTCCGGTATCGGTCCCCCGCCCGTGCTCCATTCGCGTCATTCGGCTCGCATATTTCGATGAAAGTAGACCGACTTGACTGTCCAATTTTCTTATGGGATTCGGCGTAACGTGAACACTGTCCGGCGTTCGGTTCCCGGCAGATCTGCCGGTCCAGCGTAGTGGGAACCGAGCCCAATGCATTGATCACACGTATCTAGCAAACAGGCGAGCGAGACAGTGCTCTCGGCCGAGTACTCGGTGTGTATGAACATTACGTCGAGTGCTCGGCCGAGCGCTCGAGTATGTGACTCGCTCACCCAACTGTCTCGACCGAGTAAACATTTTACTGTCTCGCCCGTTTGATCACACGTACTGAGTAAACGGGCGAGACAGTGCTCTTGTAGTAGTAGACGTATGAACATAGCGCCGAGTGATCGGCCGAGTGCTCGGCCGAGCAAAGCGACGAGACAGTAGCTCGACTCTCGTTCAACTAACTAGGCCGAGTATCCACGCTCCCGTTGCCCCGCACTGTCTCGCTCGCTCGCTCGGCAGGTCTGAACGTGCACTGTCTCGCCACTCGCCACTCGGCCAAATGATTGACGTCTCGTCCACAGATTAGAGAAAAAGAAAAGTCTCAATAGAACTGAACTGACTGTGCTAATTTCAAAACACGTGTGAACAGCACTTGCTTACATCACAGTAAAATGTTTACTCGGTCGAGACAGTTGAGTGAGCGAGTCACATACTCGAGCGCTCGGCGTAATGTTCATACGCACCGAGTACTCGGCCGAGAGCACTGTCTCGCCCGTTTGCTCGGTACGTGTGATCAAGGCATAAGTGTGTACCTACGCGAAGAGCATCGTGAATCATAAGCGCACGGCGAGCTGCGTGACGAGGCGCGCGCGGGTCACGCGCAGGCTGTCGTAGCGCGCCGAGCTGAGCCCGTCGGCCGCGCCGCGCCGCGCGCTGTCGGCCAGCAGGCGGCCGCGCTGCTCGTTCTTGGCCGCCGGCGGGTGCATCAGCATCGTGTACCGCGACATCTCCACTGGCAGCCTGGAAACGTTTCATTAGAAACTATCGAGCACTCTGGTCGCCCGAGTTTAAACTGCACGTAAAGCCCGGTCCGTGAGCACGTAGAATTCTGTCCAATGACCCCTAGCTACCCATCCTTATCGCTCGCGCGTAATTATATTGCTGTCGCGACTGTGCGACGGGCGCCCGCAGTGAGTGTGCGAGCGCGATAGCAACATAATTACGCGCGAGCGATAAGGATGGGTAGATTGGGGTCATTGGTCAAAATTCTACGTGCTCACGGACCAGACTATAGTTGTTTCTTTTTAACTGATATTTGCTATTATCGACAATATTTATAGACATAACGAACATACTATCGGCCACAGTGTTTAATCAAAGTCTTGATCACACGTACCGAGTAAACGGGCACTGCCTCGCCCGATTACTCGGTACGTGTGATCAAGGCTTAACTATCCATTACCGTTTTAATGTTGTCTCTTATCAAATGTTGATTCTTTGCGAAAAATGAGACAACATGACCGGCAATGGGTAGTTAACACTGTTGCCGATAGTACGAGGCTTGTTTGTATGTTTTAGTACTTATTTAATGATTTATTTATTTTGACGTTGCACGCACTTATGTGCCAAATATTGGTCAAAGTCTATGCTGATTACAAAAGTTTTTTTTTAGAAATAAACAAAGTAACTTTATAGATATAAAGTTCTTACTTCTAAAGATAAAAAGCTCACCAAATTCATCAATTCACTAGACACCATTTCTATCATCTTTTAAAACTCACCGATATATTTGAAGGCCGTTGTTCTCGATCCGCATGCTGAAGTCGTCGTCCTCGCCGCCCCACTTCTCGTAGCGGTTGGAGAAGCCGTTGACCTGCGCATAGTGGTCCGCACGCACGGCCAGCACGCCGCCCACCAGCCACGAGTATGGCAGCACGAAGCGGAACTTGTCGATGCTGGCGCTGAATCAATCAAAAATATTTTATTAATCCTTCAAGCTCCGCGAATCTAGACACAATAGATAATCAATTGTTATGACATTAATTAATGCCGTCTGGGACTCAATCGGTTAAACTAAGCTCAAAACTTATTTATTTTTGCAAATATGCTTTTAAAAAGCACTTTTACATGTCCCAGTATTAACCCTACCACTACTTCGGGATAATAAATGGGCCAGTGCTGAGAAGTAGCACAAGAAACTCAGTCACTATTGACAGCCTCCTTTTTAAGGGTTTACAGTCTTTAAAATATACATAGTTATAAGTATTGATGCGAGCTAGGCAGTTTAACATTCCAAACATATTTATCTTCTAACCATCAACTTTATAGTAGCTCTTTTTCATTAAGGTGTGTCACTTGCTTTTAATGAGTGTTTTAAATTTATGAATGGGCACCTCTACAACAGTTTGTTATACAATTTAAATTAGTATTTTAACTTTTTAAAAATAAAAAAGGGGTAACCCTTAAAGGGCATTTTACATGTCTCGTTATCTTTTAAAATGAAAATGAAATATCTTTATTGCTACTACTACTATAAATAACAAAATTACATGTACATCGGTAGGTACACATAATTATAAGTATAACAAAAGAAAAATATAAACAACAAATTGGGGTTTAAAAAGTTACAGTTTAGGTGTAGCAGAAGCAACAGGTGCCAGTCTCAGCATAATGCTGAGCTATAAGCTCAGTGCTGAATTTCAGACTGCCCCTGAAACTGGTCGGTTAGGTTGGCAGGTAGTGAGTTGTTTGAGGCGCATGTTAGTTTTCTGTGGCTGTGTAGGTGTTTGTGTGTGTTCTAAGTGTTTTGTGTTTTTAGTTTTTTGTTATGTTGTGTTTTTAGGCCGTACCTGAGGTGGCGCGGCTGGCGCAGGCAGGCGTAGAGGTTGGCGGCGTCCAGCGGCAGCGTGTCCACGTCGTGGAGCACCAGGCACGGGAACTTCTCGCTCATGGCCACGCGCGCGCCGATGTTGTATAACAGCCCTTTGTTGAAGTTCTTGTTGTCTTGCTGCTCGATGAGGAAAATTCTGAAATAGTTGAGACAAAAATATTTGTAAGTAACATGAGCAGAAAATAAATACATTTTTGAGGCCATAAAATACTACATCATTTCAGCCACAGGATGTCCACTGCTGAACATAGGCCTCCCCCAATGCTTTCCATGTTGATCGATTGGTAGCGGCATGCATCCAGCGCTTCCCTGCTACCTTTACAATGTCGTCGGTCCACCTTGTAGGTGGACGTCCCACGCCGCGTTTTCCGGTATGCGGCCTCCATTCCAGAACCTTTCTGCCCCATCGGCTGTCAGTTCTGCGTACTATGTGCCCTGCCCATTGCTACTTCAGCTTGCTAATCCGTAATAAAATACTTACTTGTAGTGAATGTTTTGCTTCCTCAGGAAGTTGTGCATGTACGGCAAGAATATGTCCAATTGACTTTGTCGATTTCGATATGTGACCAGTATGGCCACGCTGAACAGAGGGTTGCAGTGCTCCGGGGTGAAGCTTCCGTTTGAAATACCGGCTGCAGAAAAGTCATCAAACTTTGTCGGTAACTGCCAGTTTTGTATTGATTCTTTGCTGGAAAGTATCTCATCGTAGGTGCAGTCCGGTTTTGTTTTCTTCAACTCTAGGTTCGGTGATATTTCTTTATACAATTCATGTTGTATGGCGTCTCTTGGAATATGCTTGTAGTTGTATTCTCCTTTGTAAGACAGCAAGCATATGATTCCTATTAGACATAATATGATAGAAACACAAGTACTTATTCTTACTTTTAACAGTCTCTTCAACAACCATTTAGGCATTTGTGTGGATGTCAAATCAAAGTGAGCATAAACCTTTTTTTAACATTCCTCAGTAAATCTGGAAAGTAAATAATAAACAAATATTACATAAAGCAGTCAACAGTAATTTAATTACATTATATGACATGAGTTGTATATTAAGAAATATATAGAGTGGTACGAAATAGAAAACGCCAATTCATTAAGTTTATTTATTTACATTTTGTCTTGGAAGTACTTGGAACTTTAGAAACTATGGTTCCACAGTTACCGTTTTTCGAGTCAATAGTGGGATTTAATAAACCCGTTCTGTTTAAATTTGTTTTGCTAATTAATTGCAAGCATTCAAACAATTGAGCTGTTTAAAAACTACATTATCTCTTGAAACTGAAGATTATCTACGACTAACCTTAAAATGGCACATTCATAGTTTTATCACGTTTATTGTGAAAGAAAGCATTACCTACCTAACACGCTAAAGCCGTTATAATCACCATAAATGAGAATAATTAATTAAATTGTATGTAATTATGATGTTAAAATGTAAAAGAAAAGTGTTTTCCAAGAATCTCCTCTGACACTAAAGCACTAAAGTTGAACTGTCACTGTCAGACTCCTGTCAGGCAGCAGATCACCAACCAAATGTCACTGTCAAGTCTTATTTTTTGATGTTGGCAATACACGTCGCGGCCGACATGATTTGTGCCATTTTCAAGTTTCAAGTGAGACGAGTTACAAAATGGGACCAAGTGGGAATCTGTGGGATGGGACTTGGGTTAATTAAATGATTAATGAAGGATGATCACAAGGATGATAGATGATACCCCCCTTCCCACCCTGTGAGTCTCAGTAAAGTTATGGTGCTTTACTGAGACTTCATAATGGACTACTTGAGAGAATCCGAAAAATCACGCTACACTGTTTTGTTTCATTTGCCCACACTCATGCACGTTCACGAACACTAATTAATAGTTCATAATCCACCATTATGTGCCTTAATAAAACACAGCGTTCTGTTGAGAGAGCTGTCTATGATCTTTGCCTAAATTTTAGTCTATGGTATAAGAAAACTTGCCAATTGTCTCTGCTTTATCATCTAGTTTACCTTCTTCATACACCAGCTGGCACCACTTTCTATGGAAATTGGTGATCTGTCAACTTGACATTTCATAGCGTTTGTGATTTTTGCCGCCTACACAGCAAAAATTTTTATCTTTTTTGTTCTAAGTATAAAATAAGAATAAAACACAGTTAAAATGTGCAAATAGGAAATATAAGTGATGCAGAGTGTAAGGGTAAAGAGTGGTGACGGTGAAAGGTTGACTTCTGTCGGCCCGGATGAAGGAAAAGCTCGAAATCCGAGTCGTCTTTTTCAGATTCATCCTCATCATCCTCGGAAATGGAAATGTTTGCTTCACCACCTCCAAATAGGCGACGGAGGCCATGTAAGTGTTAACCCCACTCGTAAGACACTCGGTCGAAACTTTGACGACTCAGATGAATGTTATTTCCAACTTTGTTGCGCACCACTTACCTTCTACATCAAGCCTACTAGATGGTAATAGCTTGCAAAGTAGTATTCAGTTCCTCTAAAGAACGATTTCAGTTACTTCGTTATCGTAAAGTGAAGTTAAGATCAATCATAAGGAAGATAGAATATTACTTTTCCTTTTCCTGCTGACTGAGCGAATTATTAATGAGATAAATTGCAGCATTTTGGCTACCTTATAGCGGGTTAAAGGCAGCTAGTTGAACATTCTGTTTGAATGATGCAATTGTTACTACCATTCTATTCATAAATAAGTAAAATTATTTTAGATTGGGCTTAAAAGGCCTCTTAAATTTAGATGTTAATCATTTATTTCAAAAATTTTATTTTGTAATGTTTGGTTCTGGCTTGATAATCCAAGAACCCTGAAACCACAATGCAATTCTTTGTGGAAAAAAGAGCGGAATCTTTTTAATGAACGCGAGCACTGTTTAAGGTAATTGCTAATATTAACCTTCGTACAACATTACAAAAGGCTCCCCCAACCTAGTCATGGGTGGGTCACAGATCTGGTTGAACACCTTATCATATTTAAATTAAACAATATGCGAGTATACCTACTTAAAAATTCTCAAAAGAGTTCAAGATAAGAAGTTAATAGAAACAATGTTTCTTTTCAAAGATGGGCTTTATGCTCATGTTGCGATAAGACATTTTTATCTAGTTTCTGAAATAGTATGTAGATCTTCTTCAGGATCACAATGCACGACCGGTTAGTGAAGGTCAACTCTCAGAACACTTACTTTCATCTGCCAGAGCAGAGACTCACAGGCGTTTCCTCCAAGGAATCTTACAACTGAAGCCCTGCCATTTATTTTGTCTTCGGCATTGCAGATTTTCTCAGCGGTGTCAAGTTGAGTTGCGGAAACTCCTCGTGCCAGTGACATTTGAGTAATAATATACTTAAAATATAATTTATTCTATTGGGTCATCAGAACAGATCTGTCTTAATCGCTCATGTCTCATAGACACTGAGACTTTCAGAAACCTTATGTTTTTGCATGTCAATCGCAAGTTAATAGAGCCAACACAAATATCCTAAATTCCCAAGCCTGGAATACTCTCAGAAACATCATGGCAGAATAATGTCTCTAAATATCTTAAAGGTCTGGGATCTTACTTGTGCACTAAGACAAGCTCAAAAACTTGGGACTTTATTTCAAAAAAATATTTATTTATACATTTGCCAACTGCAACATTGACTGTCCCCGGAGGACGTCTCTCTTCAAGCAATAGGTATGGTATGTAAAAGATACAACATCAACTCAAGTCAAAGCATAACTGATTTATTATTTGTATACCCACAATTAGTTACAATATTATAAACTGTCAATGTCAACTAAATACACAATAGTATGCAGCTGTTTCTGAGAGGATTTTAAGAGGTATAGACGCCATAGACTTTAGTTCAAAGCCGTTGCGGCGAAAAGAAGTCACAGACTTCCAAGTCCACAGACGCAGCGGATGCGTAGTGGGGCGCTCAACTGGGGTTGCTAATTATTTTTTTCGAAAATATTATTATAACAGTAGATTAAAGGTCAGAGAAGGAAAATAGACAGTACTTTACAAAAATTTTACAGGTCAGTGTTACAACGCACACCTAAAATGTAATGTTGGCATTTACTTTTGAAATATTTTTACTAGTGATGATGACACTCCAATGCGATGGAGATGTAGCATTAAGTCATCAGGATCGATTGAATGAAGTTCACATCCTGATAGAAGGAGGTACTCGATCACGGGCCCTCCTCAAATTAACCACCAAGCTCCTGAAGGTCACATTCTGACACAGACACAGTCAGAAACGAAGGAGGTACTCGATCACGGGCCCTCCTCAAATTGACCACCAAGCTCCTGAAGGTCACATTCTGACACAGACACAGTCAGAAACGAAGGAGGTACTCGATCACGGGCCCTCCTCAAATTGACCACCAAGCTCCTGAAGGTCACATTCTGACACAGACACAGTCAGAAACGAAGGAGGTACTCGATCACGGGCCCTCCTCAAATTGACCACCAAGCTCCTGAAGGTCACATTCTGACACAGACACAGTCAGAAACGAAGGAGGTACTCGATCACGGGCCCTCCTCAAATTGACCACCAAGCTCCTGAAGGTCACATTCTGACACAGACACAGTCAGAAACGAAGGAGGTACTCGATCACGGGCCCTCCTCAAATTAACCACCAAGCTCCTGAAGGTCACATTCTGACACAGACACAGTCAGAAACGAAGGAGGTACTCAATCACGGGCCCTCCTCAAATTGACCACTAGCTCCTGAAGGTCACATTCTGACACAGTCAGAAACGAAGGAGGTACTCGATCACGGGCCCTCCTCAAATTGACCACCAAGCTCATGAACTTGACCGAACAGCTCGACATGACGCTGTCGGCTTGTTATCTACCAGGAGATGGGATTGCAGACCGGGCCATAGGCACGGTATCCCAGACCACCTGTAACATCAAAGGGTCGAGTAGTACCCAGGTGGAATCTATTAGTACCCCAGGCCGCGGAGGCCATACTCAGTGTATGGGGAGTCCCAGACAGAGACTTGTTTGCTTCCATTTAGAATATATTAGTACCCCAGGCCGCGGAGGCCATACTCAGTGTATGGGGAGTCGCAGACAGAGACTTGTTTGTTCCAGTTAGAATCCATTAGTACCCCCGGCCACAGAGGCTATATTCATTATGTAGGGGTGTCCCAAAATAGACTTATTGGCTTCCAGGGCCACGGCAGTAGTATTAACTATGTTACACTGGACTCAAAAGATGGATGTTAAATATTAAATAAAATTATACTGTTTGTGTTCCTTAAATGAACAAGTAAAATTATAATTGAAAATTAGCTAATAAATAGTATTATCCATCTTTTGTACCACATTAAGGCAAATAGATCAGAACTCTGATTCTTTATGACGCCCTTCAGCCGTCTCTGGGATTATCAGCTGGATGAGTGTTTTCACCTCCCAGCTACAGACGTTACCATACTTGAATGGCAGACGGAACATACATTCTAATAACATCGGCCCCAGTGCTAATAAAGGATCTGTTAGAGACCCTAGTCTACAACAAGTAGATAAGTTATCTCTCCAAAATTTAAAATTGGTGGTGGAAGGAGCAATCATAAGATGCATTATGTGGGTCAATCTCACAGCATTGACCACAAGTTACCAACTGGTAGTGATGTGGTAGCCAGTGGCGGCGTAGCGTGGCTTGGCGCGCGGGGCGGTCCGTACCCCCCATATATATCCGCCCCCCCGGGGGCTATGGCACCCCAGAATGGTCTGGTCTGGTGCCCCCCAGGATTTTTGGGTTACCGATTCGAAGATGAAAGATGTTTTACGCCGTTACTATAGCGCTGCTGTTAGCCAAGCTGTTTTTACAGCAAAAACTTGCAGTACAAAACTGATACTTAGGTCAGTTGTATCTACCTTTACCTTTTGTACATCAGTTCCTTAAGGCCATTTCACTTGCAAGGCCAAGTACACCGAGATCACCGGTCTTTAGTATTAAATTACTGGAATTAATTTGACTGGTTGCCGGCTGCTGGACTTTCTTCTAGCATTGAATTTTACTTGATAAACAGCTCTCATTCTTCTTCTTGCTTCAGATCGAAGAATCCATGATCTCATTCCTTTGGACACATTACAGGATTACTTTGTTGAAGTATCAGAATATGATCACATTGTGACATTGGCGTATCTAGGGTTGTTTTGCGGGGGGGGGCCCAGAACCTCCCCGCTATAGACATGACGTCAGCATTTTGGCTGATATTTGGATCTGAATCTGATTCAACCACCTACAGACTGTCTCTGACTGCTAAGCACCCAGATGAACGCATAATTATGTCCTGTAGTTTCATATTAGTGAGCTGATAAAGACTTCATTTTAATGGAGACCCCAGAGTTATGTGTGAAATTTGTTTATTTCCATAAACAATATGATAACGCCTGTTTTCCAGGTCAAATATTACAAATTGGATTAAGATCATTTTTAGTGAATAATTACTTCTCCAAGAAGTGCAGTGAATATTTGCTTCTCCATGAAGTGTTTGGTCTGCAGTAACATCCAGATACTGGCTGGACAAGAGAGTAGTTGATAAGACCCCCAATATTTAATTGGAGGTGGGGGTATGTATACCTTTATGAAATATTACTGCAGAGACCTACGAAGGAACAATAACATCTTGTATTTATGAGTTTATAATTTTACAAGCATGTTATTAATAGTTAATTGTTTAATGTTATGTTATTCATAACAAGTTTTTAGTAATGTTTTAATTGTTCAAGATGAAAACATGTTTATGTTTATACATATTTATATTTTCAGATGGGGAGATCTTACTATTAACCTACCATAAGTACCAGAATGATTTTATTGGTTGATAAGAAGTTAATGACATAATGTTGATCTCAAGGAGATGTCCTAAATAATTTGAGTTATTTAACCTAAAGACTGGTTATTTGTTTAATAAGTTTCTTATTGGTTCGTCTGCTTCTCAGAGAGTACAATAAGTTGTTTAATGTATTATTTTGTATTGTGATATTAAACTTCTTTATATTCTTTCATTCTTAATACATTTTATATCACATAGCGTTTGTGCTTGACACCAGCAGATAACAAACAGGTCTCAACAGAACGCTGTGTTTTATTAAGGCACATAATAGAACTGTTTTGAATTACAACAAAACAGTTATTATGTGTAGAATAAAACACACACTTATTTTTACATTAAGCATATACACAACATGCATTATAAACCTTAAAACATATAGGTCATGACATGGTTTTATTAATACAGCCATTTATTGTGTCTGCAGTAACATCCAGATACTGGCTGGACAAGAGAGTAGTTGATAAGACCCCCAATATTTAATTGGAGGTGGGGGTATGTATACCTTTATGAAATATTACTGCAGAGACCTACGAAGGAACAATAACATCTTGTATTTATGAGTTTATAATTTTACAAGCATGTTATTAATAGTTAATTGTTTAATGTTATGTTATTCATAACAAGTTTTTAGTAATGTTTTAATTGTTCAAGATGAAAACATGTTTATGTTTATACATATTTATATTTTCAGATGGGGAGATCTTACTATTAACCTACCATAAGTACCAGAATGATTTTATTGGTTGATAAGAAGTTAATGACATAATGTTGATCTCAAGGAGATGTCCTAAATAATTTGAGTTATTTAACCTAAAGACTGGTTATTTGTTTAATAAGTTTCTTATTGGTTCGTCTGCTTCTCAGAGAGTACAATAAGTTGTTTAATGTATTATTTTGTATTGTGATATTAACCTTCTTTATATTTTCTTTCATTCTTAATACATTTTATATCACATAGCGTTTGTGCTTGACACCAGCAGATAACAAACAGGTCTCAACAGAACGCTGTGTTTTATTAAGGCACATAATAGAACTGTTTTGAATTACAACAAAACAGTTATTATGTGTAGAATAAAACACACACTTATTTTTACATTAAGCATATACACAACATGCATTATAAACCTTAAAACATATAGGTCATGACATGGTTTTATTAATACAGCCATTTATTGTTAATTCAAAGAAACAAGCCAAAAATTCTCAATGTTCATATTTACAACGTATTTTATAAATGAAACAAATAATAAACCCCAATGAAATACACATAGTCATAGTTCAAAAGGTCTGTTCATCAGCATTGATGATGATGATGATGATGATGATGATGATCCATCCGACCGATTTCGGCCATGGCGACCACTCCGACTCCTAGCTGTCTTGGCGGCGCTGGTGTGCCCGAAGATGGCTTACGTAGCCTATTTTCGCGGTAAAATCCCTCGCGCATTGAGGGCATCTGAGCACGCCGCCAACATAGTTATAGTGAATGGCGGCAGATGGACGGGCCTTCAAGTCATCGCGCTTCGCGTCGAGTTCAGTCGTACGCTGCACCTCGAACTCGGAACCTCATCAGCATTATAATAAACATCAAGTGTTAGCTAACTTCTCAAACCGAGTCATAAATTGTCTTTGTTTACGACATGGGCGGCACGCCCGGCGTTATTGACGGTACCGAAAGCGCTCTGGCCACTCGGCTGTAATTTGAGTAGCGCGGCTGGCCGTTCAAGCGGGTCTTGACTTGACTTATGGTCCTATGTCCCCTAGATGGGGCAGAGGGCGTCCACAACAGTCCTCCATCTCGTTCGGTCTTGAGCTTCTCGCTTGATCTCGCTCCAGGTCTTGCCGATCTTCTTCGCCTCGTCCGCTACAGTGCGCCGCCAAGTTTGCCTGGGTCGACCACGTTCAAGCGGGTAAAGGCCAAATAATAAGTCAAGGTGGTTTTTATCTTCTTCCGAGGTTAATAGATACAAAAAAGGAGTGATTAGACACGCAGTAGGGGTGAATAGACACGTAGGTAGTACGGGGTTATTAGATACGGGTTGGTGTAAATAGAAACGAGAAAGGGGTCATTAGATATTTTGTAGTTAGGGTTGTCAAGCAGTTTAAAATACCTACCCACTTATTATTTTGTGCGATGTATGCAAATCTATACTACCTAATACGTATATTATAATAAAAATTTACAGTTTGTAACTTTGATTGACTGACACAATTTGTCATTTTAGATTTTTATCATGCCTCGGAAGTATACGCCCTATCCAAGGGGGAATAGCTAGGAATAGATATAAAAAATATGATGAAAGCATTATTCAAGAAGCTGTAGAAGAATATAGAACCAGCAAAATGTCACTTAAAGCTGTTGCTGATAAGTATAATATTGATAAGTCAGTATTAAACAGGCATAGTACGAGTTTTTAGATCAAATTTCGGAAAAATGTAAATAATGTTAACAAAAATATAAATAAAAAAAAATAGCTAAATTAGGGTCAAATGGGCGAACTTGTATTCTAAAAATGACCTTACTTATACACCCACGAAGCTTGTTTAACCTTCCGCCAAACGCCCTGTATATTAAAACATTGCACACCTTGCAAGGTATCGTGTCGCCATCCTACTACATCAAAATATGCAAATAAAAATTTTCAGACATTTTACATTTACAGAAAAATGCTAAAGAAAAAAGTGAAAGTGTGTCAACGATATTTTTTAACAGTATTACAAATCACAAAAAAGTACAGAGTTCAATCTGTAATGAAAGAGTATTATAAAACTGGAAAGTTATTAGCTGAAAAAAGGGGAGGCGATCGTACTTCAATTGCGGCGAAAATATGCGGCGAAAAGAGAAGCATATCAACACGATACCATGCCAAGAACCGCATTACTGTAGAGGAAACACTAAAAGGTTGTATTTGCCATCAGAATTATCAATTAACAAGTTACACAAAGAATATAATTCGACAGTTGATGACGACCTGAAAGTGAAGAAGTCTTATTTCAGGCATGTACCTATTCAATACAAAATATAATCTTTCATTTGGAACTCCGCGTACCGACGTCTGTGCAACTTGCATAAAACTCAAGGAACAAATGAAAAATGAGAAAGAAACTAGCATAAGAAATGATTTAATGGTAGCCCAAAGGCTACGCAAATTAAGATGAAAAGCTTATTTTGAAAAAGTCAAAGAAGAAAAAGAAAAGCTAAAAACCTTCTCGTACGACTGTCAAAAAAATCTTATCTTGCTAAAAGTGCCCGATCAAGTTGCGTATTACCTACGAAATGTGTATTTATACAATTTTACAATAGTAGAGGAAGTAAATTGCTTCCCGAAAATGTGTTTGCTTACTGTTGGACTGAAAATTTGTTCCCCAAAGCTGCAAATGAAATTGCATTAGTAAGACTTGTTGCAGATGGATGCGCAGGTCAAAATAACTATCATATTGGGAATGTTGTCGAAATGGTTGACCGAAGCTCCGGAAAACGTGAAGAAAGTTGAGCTTGTATTTCCTGTTGTCGGACATTCGTATATACCGCCTGACAGGGTCTTTGCCCAAATTGAAAAGGAAGTGCTAAAACATGAAGTGATTAACGGTCCTCGAAAATATATCGAAATAATTTCAAAATTTAGTACTGTTAACAGTTTCAAAATAGCTGAAGCAGAAAATTATATTACAAATGAAGTGACAGTAGACATAATGCCTGCTGTAAATTACCCAGTCACCTCCGGTTCTAAAAAAGCCAAGAAAACGCAACTCAAAGCTGTTAACTGCCAATCAGGTAACAGGTTTTTATAACATGCAATGAGCTTCTCTCGTCAAAGATGCAATGCGACAAAATTTCATATTTTCACTTGTTTTCGTTATGACTTTTCCATGTTTTTTTATTTATTATGAGTGCATTAGCTTTAGCAGAGTCATATGATTCAGATTGTGTCAGACCTAGCTAACCAAATGGCTGAAATCAATAGAAAATTGGATTTACTGTTAGCTAGGTCCGGAGAAACATTTTCACCAACAGATGACAATGCAGGTCTTTCAGAACTTTTGGCAAGTCTACCAGTAAAATATATTGCAAGTTTTAATAATTTCGATGACCATTTAAAAATAAGCAACAATAAACAGGCAATAGTGTGTATAAATTAAAGACTTAAAATACAGGGCAAATTTTATTATTCTATTAACATTCTAATGCTGATTTAATTAGATTTCAGATGTCATTTTGTCTGGTATTGGCGGCAGAAATGTAAGAAGCCTTACGACTAATATGTTGAGACGAATAATTCTAGATGATGTAGCCGAGTTGTAATAAAAAATCATTTATCTTTCGTAAGTACCTTTATTTTATTACAAACTTATACANATTTTTCTACTTTTTAGTGTATGTTTTTTGGAGTCGGTTTTATTTTTTTTTTCTGTGGTTAAAGTTGTCACTTGGTTACGCTTTCTGAGGCTGACGCAAAAGACGACTTAGGCCCAGAACAGACGGTGAAACGCAACTGCAACGAAACTGCAACTGCTAGTTACTTTTGAGTTGCATCTAAGTTTCTGCCATAGCGTCCGTTGAGAGAGCACACATGATGCGACCAGTTTGAAACTTCCGTTTCAGTTTAATTCATCAGAAAGTTGCAGTTTCGTTGCAGTTGCGTTTCACCGACTGTTCTGGGCCTTAGACGCAGACCACCTACTTTTAGTTGGCCGATAATTGAGCCCGATTCTAATTTATATGAAGAATCAGCCAATACCATATCGGTATGATGTGTTTCATACATTTCCATACTGATTAACACCCCGCCAAAACCGTGCCGGGACAAACTTAACCTTCACTGGTTGGGTTTTTATGGCGGTCAAGCTGTAGATCCTGGCTAACAGGAGTTGCAGCGGTGGGAACGAGAGGTGGGAATAGTACCGTTGATTAACAACCCGACCCAAGTATCGGCCAACTAAAAGTCGGTGGTCTGTGCCTAGGCTAAGGGAGAAATAGACGAATATCTGGCCAGCTTGAGGCGTATAGGCCAAGTCCTCCATTTGAAAGGTAAATTAGACAGTCCTTCTGCAGGGGAGACCAAAATGACCAATGTTGAATTGGCCATTAGTTTCCACCTACGGGTTAGATTGAAAACACACCTCGTTTAAAAGCGATTATTCGCTGTCAATAAAAGTTAGCATCCATAATTTATCCTTTTTTCATTGTATACTCAACTTCTTCTTCGTATCTTC